AGTGGTTTGATTTTATTTGATTATCTTTTTTTAAAAAAAATAGGATAAATGCCAGATGCCTCTGTGAACTTCAGTATTTATAGCACAGAATTGTTAATTAAATGTATATATTCATTTGAAAAACAAGCTTAACAGAAATAAACTTAACAGACTATTAATTGGCATGTGAATTCATATAATGTAGTTTGAAATATAGGAATTATCAAATGCAGTCAACTTTTTCTTATGTGATTTCCATTTCTTGGAACATAAATTCTTGTTTAGAGATTTTGTTTTGTTTTGTTTTCTCCTCAGGCAAAGATTTGGGTCCTTTTCCATTTGGACTGGCTAGGCATGTTGCAAAAATCCTCCCTCACTATGATTTGCAAGTCTACAGTAGTAGAGCCAAGACTTCATCTTCTCATTCTCACCTGTTTCTATTTATTTGTTATAGGATGTCAAAGGAAAATGAAAAGTAACACCTCAAAATACCACCTTGAAAAAGAAAATGCCAATGAATTCTTTCCTGCACCTGAAGCTTTTAATTCTTTAATCCACCATGGAATGTTGCTTAATTACATATTTTATTATGCATAACTGGAAATTATGTACTTTACTTTCAACAATGATATGAAAGCACGTATTGTTTATAAATAAAGAAAGACTGGTTTGTTTCTATTTTTTATGTTACAAATATTTGCGGTATTCTCACAGGTTCTCTTTCTAAAACTTGGCTTTTTGAAAATTCTCAAAGGGCGCTGAAAAAAAACTTCAAGTTTTGATGTAAATTAGAAAATCATTACTTTGCAAAAATTAAGATGTCATCACATTATTATGGGCAAAAACATTGAACCATTGGGATTTTTATAGATCCTTTATTTTAATGTTAATGAGTTTTTCAAGTATGAATACAAAAATATTAATTAATACTTTAAGCTAGATATTACACTTGTTGAGCTGGGTGATGAACCCACAGAAGGCATTTCTTCTACTTTTTGTGTGCATTTGAAAAGTTCATCATAAATTTGTGTGCTAGGATCATACTTAGTATGTATAGACATTATAACAGGATAGCAAAATTTTAGGATGAGTATTTCATGGTGGAACATTTCTTGCACTTGATTTGGGTTGTCAACATTTTTGTATTAGCAAAATATATGCTGTGTATTTCTGAAAACTCTGAGTTGCAAGCAGTTCTTTCTGAATTTGCGAAAGCTCTTATTAAGGAGAAAACAGGAACATAAATTTGAAGATAGAAAACTTGGGCTTAAGAATTATATGACTACTTGACAGCAGAAAAAGTCAGTTCACCCATTTGCCTTTTTATTTCCTTTATTTTTTTCTTTTAGTCACAGTTTATTTATTTCTTTGTTTTTGAAGTGAGAATTTTAGCGCCCATCTGAAGTACCTCATAGTGAAATGGACAGCTTTAAAGAAGATTATGTTAGGGCCTTCTAACATGAAGCATCCAATGACTATTATTGTTATTATTTTAAACACATCTGAGTGCAATGCCAGTCAAGAAGCCTGATAAGGCAGGACATCTTTGTACTTGATCTGATGTGACAATGACTTGGAAATTAGAACTGGTAACAGGTGCAGTGGTGAAACCTGTTCCTACATCAAGGTATGGCTCAACAGGTTTACACCCTGGAAAAACATTCATTTGTATCACACTACTACAGACGCAATGCCTTCTTTCATGGGTGTACTTAAATACTGGAACTTTAATTCTCCCATAGCAAGTAATATTGGTGCTTTTCAGAGAGAGAGTGAAGCCAGAGCAGCCAATGGACATCTTTTTTTGGCAAGGTGTTAGCAGCATGAATGAATGATTCTGTCCCTGTCCTGAAACCTATTGAAATAGATTTTGGATCCGGCAAAAGTAAAGAATACCAATCATCATTTAACTTAGTGCAGATTATGTCACTCTCGAGTTTCCCTGAAAATGTTTTCTTTGCAAGGAAACAAATATACAGTTCTACTGCTTTCCTTCGTCAGAGAGAACAGAGCCTATGTCAAATGTTTTTGGTCACAGGAGGTCTATTTGTAAGCTGGAAATAGCTGGTGGAAAAAGGAATTAAATGCACAATGCCAATGCAATGAATTGATTTTGGAAATGCTTTTCGTAAAAACCTTTAAGTTGTTGTACAAAGGGGTTTCAATTCAACATGTCCATAGTGCTTTTTAAAATCAAATTAAACTGGGAGATGTGAAGGGTAATCAGCTTAAGGAAGGCTTAAAAATGTTGTTCATCTTTTAAACATTAATTCCAAACTGTTTTATTTAGCATATGGTGTTGTTAAACAGGTATAGTATTCTAGACATATCTTCTACCACATTTCCTTAATAAGGGTACTTTTTATTTTATTAAAATGTGCATATTGGTGTTGTAGTTCGGCTGTTGTCAAAAGGCATGCATGAATCCATAATACACCCTTGTCAAATCTAAAATATTTACTTGTAACGGAGAGGTCAGTATCTGTATTTTCTCATATTTTATGATATTTTGGCCCTCTTGGCATTCATACTGTCATGCAAATTTCTGGGTGGTTTGAACACAATACTCCTATTTCTATTAGCTATATTACAGGCATGCACTTAATTGCACTTTTTGAAAATATCACCAGGCAGTTCAGAATATATCATTTATTGAAAATATTGTGACAATCAAGGACCTTCATATCAGCCAAATATGAACAATAGGGAATAAGGGGAATTTAATAATGGAATGTGTGGAATACTCATTGTAAATCAATCTTGAAGCACTTAATGGTTTTTCTATTCACTCTATGTATTTTAGATAAGCACAGTTGGGTATAGATATGACTACTTTGGGGGAAAGAATTCTTAAGCTCAGGACTCCTTAGTTCTAAATGCTAATCAATACACATTTTCTACATGGTATGTACAGATCAGTTACCACATGCCACACAACTAGGGCACACATATTTAGTTACCTTGGTTCTCAAAGGTTATGTGTCAACTCTGCACATTATGTGGCAAGAAGATACTATCAACATTATTTTTTGCACAATGTGCAAGTATTATATGGCCACAGAGTGTAATACAAATTAGTGGCAAAGTGCTGAGTGAAAAAATCTGTGACAGATTCAGATGTACAAGGTCGAATATTACCTGTAAACTACCTGACTCTGCTAAGGTCTTAAGAGCTCGAAACACTATGTCATGCCCAGCTTTTAAATGTCTCTAAAATACTTGGACACAATGAAGCCTGTTGGAGGAATTTTACCATGGTCACAGGAACCAAAGGAAGGCTGGCATGGGAGGCAATGCCATGGGGTAGGATACAGAAGAGCATCTGGGCAAGTCTTTCACAATGAACCATCTTCCCTGAAAACAATTTTGCTCACTCCAGTGAGACCAACGTTGTTTACTAACATACTTCCTACTAAATTGGTAAAACCACGCTGACCTTTAAAAGCTAAAAGATGTGAGAATCTTACTTGCAAAATTATGATTTCCAACACACACTCACCATTTCATTGAAAATGTCACTTCCAAACCAATTTCTCCTCCCCCAAATGATTAAACTTCGTATGTATTTGACACCTTACGTTCAGTGCTGAGCTGGTGAAAAAGGTAAAGAGAGAGACATCAATTCTATTTGATGTTGTCTCCAGTCTTTTAAATTTGAGGAAATAGCTTTTTAAGCAAATGGCATATTTCTATTTTACTACTTAAAATCTGGTTTACTTGATTCAAATTCCTCTGGCTCAAACGATTACTTTTCTGAATTCAGCAAAACCAGGAAGTTTACAGTTGTTTCCTCACTTAATGAATTAGAAACTAGTTTACAACGAATAGCAGCCTTCAGCCTACAGCTCTGCTGTACTTCAAATGTAAATAGAATTGCTGGACATTGGTGGCTCATGCTTGTAATCCTACCCACTCAGGAAGCTGAGATTTGAAGAGCTCATTTCAAAGCCAGCCTGGGCAGGAAAGTCCATGAAACTCTTATCTGCAACTAGCTGGAATTGAAGCTGTGGCTCAAGTAGTAGAGCACCAGCCATGAGGAAAAAAGGACAGCACACAAGCAGGCCCTGAGTTCTAAGCACCCCCCACCCTCCGGGGGGGTGGGGGGAGGAGTGTAAAAAGAAAACAGAATTTTAAAGCTTTATTGGGTGTTTTCAATGATTCCATTTTAGCTGATATAAAAGTTCAACACCAAAGCATCTCAGGTATTTTGATGCTTCCCATTAAGCTCACTGAGGCTAAGGAAATGGGTAGCAGAGGAGGCAGGCTGCAGAATGCTGAATACCCACACCAACAGCTAAGGAACCTTAAAAAGAAAAGGATGAGACAGATATGTTTAAAAGAAAAAAAATCCAGCCCACTCAAAACCCTAGCACTGGCTTCAATCCTTTTTGTGACTATTAGCACAGCTTATTTTATATCCTGGCTAAATGTACGGAGGTTTCATATGAATCTTGAAGATGGTGTTTAAATCCCAGGCATGTTCTTCTTATTTTCTTTATGTAGTTATGACATATGCAGTCAAATGAGCTCAGGATTAGGAACTTTCTTCACTTATAACTTGTAATAAAAAATACAATACTTAGTAAGGAGGTTCTTACACAGAAAGTCCATTTTTCCTCTACATATTTTATGTTACTATTAATGGCCTTTAAAAATACACCTCAGCTTAAGGAAAAGTATTGCTTAATTGAAGGATTGTATAGTAAAAGCAGGTGAATTCCTTTTAAGAGCGTGACTGTCAGAAAAGATACTTGTTAGTCTTCTGACTGTCCTATCTCTGTTCATTAAGCAAAATGTCAACCAAAAACAGATTATCATCTTCATTGTGAATTTTCATGCCTATTTAAAAATGAGTGCGTTGTCTGTATTTAAATTTACAGATTTCAAGTGACTTTTCAAGTTGCTCTTTTTAAAAATCAACAAACTTATCATCAAGAAAACATTAACATGGACCTAACTGAGAGGGCCATTGTGGACTCTTTGTTAAAGTTACTTCACATAAGCAGACAAACCCTGCCATGTCATACCATACAAACAGTTTTAATTGTGTAGTTACAGTCAATAACCACTCCTAATCAGAACATTTCTGCATAAAGAAAATTGTGATACACTTATAAAAACAGCCAGCTGTAACAAAATAGCTGGTGTTTTCATAGCCATGAAACTCATTAAAAAAAAAAAAAGAAATACACCTTTATACAGAAATTTTATACAGATGTAGGTTTAAAATTGATTGTAAACCAAAGGAAGACACATTGCAAACATCAATTATTTTCACATTAATTGCATAATTTTCTAAGGTGATCTATTAGTTTTATTTACCTAAGCTTATTTGCATGATAGTAAAAATTGCATACAACAGTAAGAGTGAAGCTTATAGTATGAATTGCTTGGATAACATAGAGCACTTCTTATAGGCAACTGTGTAAAGCACATTTTCTCTATTTAAAACTTTTAAGACACTTTGTTTTACTGCCCATCAAAATACATTTATAAATAGAAAAGAATCAGTAATGGTAACAAGAGAAGCAATATTACATTTAACGGAAACTTCCAAAAAATTAATTACAACAAGATGCGGCAGGGTCTACAAATAAATAATGAGGACTAAATTGTGTTTCACATTTTCTTTTCCTTTTTTTGTTGTTTTCTTTAAAAAAAAATCATGTAACAATGAGAATGAAAAAAAATTACAGTGAACTTTTATTTCCAAAATAAAAACAAATTTGAATTACGGCAGTGCCATTATAGTACAAGGCATTTGTTGGCATATGTCATCTTTAAACTGCATTCACAGTCTATAGTTCTTTTGTAACATACAATAGAGTAACAAACTCTTTTTTTTCTTTATTTTTTAAAATAAGGGGCGATTTTCCAAAGATCAGTGTGGAGTGTTACAGAAATAGTTAAAGAAAAGGAAATCATAATCACAGAAATTATAATGCTTGTTTGAGGCTCCAGAATAATAATAACTTAAAAAAAAAACCCTCTCTGGTATCATGCTTACTGGGAACACATCTGGGTGCATCCCTTGAACAAAAATTTTTAATATCAAACAGTCCGCAAATGCTTCACCCGGGCTGCCCAGCAGTGTTACAACAAAGGCGTTTAAACATAGTGCAGTCCTTACTTTCCTTCCCAACTTTCCTGTTTGTGCAAGTTTCTGAAGATTGAAGGTTGGCCAAACAATGAACAACAAAGGTTTTCTGAGCGAACACAAGATGGACTTTTCACGTTGTTAGTAAACACCGGTGGCACTGTTGAATGAAAATAATACTTTGCTCTCAGTCTTTCAGATCGGCATTGATGTCTGTGTTCCCTTCCACTGATAGCTCCTCTTCTAGTTTCACGGAAAACAGGGTGTTGGCATTTTTATCTTGGACACTCTCTTCCAAATCCTTGAGCAACTCCTCCTCTTTATATTCGGCCACGTCTACCTCTAAGCCAGAATTGTCCTTCAGTTTGCCGTGGTGCTTGAGATAATAGCGCTGGTTCTGAAAGAACTTGATGATGGTGTACTTGGGGAGGTCAAGTTGGGCTGATAGAGTCTGGATGGCCTCTTCATCCGGGTACAGACCCACGTCTTGTATGAAACTCTGGAGGATTCCCAGGGCCTCCACTGAAATTTTGGTTCGTGGCCGGGTCTTCTGCCGGTTCTCCTCATCTGACTCAGCAGGTGAGGCCACGGTGGGCTGCCGTGGAGGGAGCCGGGGGCCAGCCTGTGGCTGTGGTTGTGGCTGTGGAGGTGGTGGTGCTTGTTGTTGCTGCTGCTGCTGCTGCTGTTGCTGCTGCTGCTGCTGCAAGGAAACAAGCAGACAGTCAGAGCACACAAAGCCTTCTAGAATCAGAAATGGGGAGGGGAGGTGCTGCGAATTCCACAGACAAGGACAAAGATGCACAGCCCAGGTCAGTAGCCAAGAGCATTGGGGGGTTAAAAACAAACTATCAAAATGATAGGAACTAGGACGACAGGAGTTAGTGAGGCTCTGGGGGGCTACTGTGCACTTATCAGAAGATCGGAAGATCGGCAGAGGAGGAGGAAGCCCAGGGCTCTGAAAATGGGGGCCATTAACATCTCCAAAAGGATAAGCATTGAAGGTGAAGACAGAAAAGCAATTTAGGATGTCAACAACGAATGAAGACTGGAAAGGAAGATTGAGAAACAAGGTTGTTAAAGACGATTTAGAAAGGTGAGCTAAGAAGTTATTGGGAAAAGAAAAGTGTTTAGCCCCTTTACACTGCCTGGCTAAATAAAACATGGAGAGAGGGAGAATGGAAAAGCATGTACTCTCAGGCTGCCCTAGCTCTTATGATCCACAGGATGTTCCAGAATCTCATGTTTAATTTTCTCAGTAAGTTCCAATTTCTCTCTCTCTCTCTCTCTCTCTCTCTCTCTCTCTCTCTCTCTCTCTCTCTCTCTCTCTCTCTCTCTCTCTCTCTCACACACACACACACACACACACACAAATTCCCTGACAAACTGCACTAGGCTGACACTGCTTTTTTTTTTTTTTAATTATGATCCAAACAATAAAGGTTCAATCCACCGTATACTGGCTAGTGAATTGTTTCGTCTTCACAGTAAACTCAGCTATCAGTAGGATTTAAATTTAGTGTACACAGCCTCTTTGGTAATTAGCATCTGTGTATGCACTGTAATTTCCATTCACAATCATACAGAACAAATGAGTGATATGTATCTATGTACACTTGATGCCCATAATTCTTATCAGCAAATCAAATCAACTCGAGTGAACAGCAAAATATTAGAACCTTTGTACTGTGCCTGAGCATTTCCTCTTATCCCCCTAAGAAGCAATTTTATCAAAAAATAATTTACATTTTCAAACAAGTACTATTTTTTTATTACTTAACATGTATCTTCTTCTTCTTTGTTTCAGCTAAAACAGTAAGTTTTTAGGGCTTTCATGCTTATTTTAGTGTTTGATATCCTAGGGGATTCTCGTTTTCAATTTGTTTGATCTTTTAATACACGCTTAAGGATTTTGTTTTCCTGGTGGATGGATAACTCTATTACTTTGGCTACATATATATCTGTGTTTCTTCATAGCAATACCAAGAAATAATGCAGGGGATTCAACAGAGATAGAATTTTAGCAGTCTGGCAGACAAGGATACTTTCCCTTAAAGGAGAAAGCTCAAGTTCATCTAGAACACAGTTTCTAAGGTACTGAGGCCCTAAGAAGCCCAATGAACTACCCAATCCCAGAACTCTGAGACAAGGGCCATGACAGGACCAGAGGAGCACCAGGCTGGATCTGCTGGCACAGTGGTTTAGTCCATCCTTCACTCTGAAAATCCTGACCAAGGGAGCAGGTCTTTACACCACCCCCCTCTCTGGGTCCCTTCTTGCTGGTAACTGGTGCCCGCTCACCTGAGGAGCAGCACCGAGCCATGGTGCAGGGGTCAGCAGGCCTGGTAAGAAAACGCCTCTAGACTCTCCTTTCCCAAGGGTGCTGGGAGAGGGGCTCTACAGGAAAGACAAACAGACATGACTCACCCCTGACCTGCAGCTGAGGGGTAGGGAGGCTGCTGGAGGTGAAGGGGGGGGGGGCCAAAGGAGCATAAAGCAAGAGCCGAGAGTATGTTTCCCTCCCCTCCTCACTCTGGACAGAAGCCAAGGTATAAAACTGTGATTCTGCAAAACTTCCTTTACAGAATGAGCAGCAGTAATTCCTATCCTCAGGGGCAGTATGGGATTAATTAAGGAATAGGTGGTGTTTTAAACTATTTACTTATTTTTTAACAAACACACAACAAAAATTCTAGGCTCTCACACACAAATCCCAATGCTAACAATAACACACTTGCCAAATAAGAAGTGCAAAGGGGGAGTCCTGCCACTTTGGGAGGGGTTGATGAGGGGTGAGGAACACAGTACACATGTTGGAAAACAACAAGTCTTTTCCGTTTTTCCTTCTATCCCCCAAGCAAGATGGCAATGTATTGTTATCTCTTGCTAAAAAGCCTCTGTGTAGACTGGTGGCAAGAAGAGAGACACCAGCTTCACACTAAGTCTGAGGCTGTGTTTACCTAGTGCTATTCTCAACTGGCCAAGGTAAACGAACCTGAATCTGTTCCGCCGGAACATGGATGATGTGGGGGGGCCTGTCGCCATGGTGATGCACCGCATTGCTCTCCTGTTCATAAATGGCATCGCGCTCAGGCTGGGGAAGACTGAGGAATCTTCGGATCATGGATAGGTTCTCCCATAGGGTTCTGTTTTCTGGAGACGGATCTTCCTTCCAGCGCAGTAGCTCACACAGCCAGCCCTGTAGAGACAGGTGATAGTATTTCAGTTGTGGCGGTGGAGGCTGGCATGTCCCATTAGGAAATAAAAAGGAAAGATTCTATAAATCAGCTTTTTCATATGCTCACAACAGTCCAACCACTTTAACATTATTTTTTTCTCTTAACCTATGAAGAAAGGGTAGTTAAAGCTATGTAGCAGGAAGGCTCCATTTCTAATGAATGTTCTGATTTACACTGTAAAGAATAGATGCTTTTCAGGGTTCAAGGGCTAGGGCATTTACAACAATTTTACAGCATGCAAAAACAGGACAAAAGTAAAAATGAGTGTACTTTTACTCCTGTTTTGTCTAATGGTGGCTTTCTGGGACAAGGAAGGTACTTAAAAAGTGGTATGGCAGATTTTAGGAACCAGAAAGCTTTCTAATATTATATGTTTTTATATTAGAAAGAAAAGTAGACATAGCTTTTGACCTTTTCTGTTTGTCTGGTAAGATTATCCTAGATGTATATTAGTTATTGTAAATAAGGGAAACCATGGGACCTATGTTTCTTTGGGTCTGGCTTATTCCACTTAGTATGATTCTCTCCAAGTCTTTCCATTTCCTAACAAATGGCGCGGTATCATTCTTTCTTATGGAGGCATAGAATTCCATTGTATGTATGTGTATATGTATATACACACACACACATACACCACATCACATTTTCTTGATCCATTCATCTACAGAGGAACATCTGGGTTGGTTCTATATCTTAGCTATGGTGAATAATGCTGCAATAAACAATAATTGCACTGGTAGCTTTATGTACATATGACCATATAAGATGATGCCAAGTGAAATGAACCCCAAGATAGAGACACAAGAAGTTTTTTCTGTGTTGCTGTTGTTTTTAGTATACTATGTGATTTTTTTTTTGTTTCTTTGGTATGTTCTTTCCCCATGTATGACCCCTATTGTCACTGTATTTGATTCCAGTGCCCTGCATTTTATATATACATTTTTCTAATTTGGGGAAGGAAAGGGAAATAAAAAATGCTGAAATAAAGATACAGGTTGCCCCATTGTAACAATGAGATGTACTAGACACTATGTTGAAAACAAACTTTACAACTTGGTGGGGGGAAGGAATTGAGAAGGGGGAAAGAAAAGGGATACTAGGGGAAAAACAAAGGAGGGGGTAAAAATGCTTACTAGGAAAGGTACTCATTACCTTTCTCATGTAACTGTAACCCTTCTGTACAGTATCTTTACAATAAATGTTAAAAGTGTGTGTGTGTGAGTGAGAGAGAGAGAGAAACAGAGTGACAGAGAAAGAAACAGAGAGAGAAAAAGTATATCTGTAAGCAAGAACACTGTCCAGTTTGAGAGTAGTGTTTGGAATGGGCATTAGAAGAATTCCTCAAGAAAGAACTTCCAGAAAGAGACTTTAGATTCCTATTTATTCAGTTTTTTCCCCTGCTATAGCATGAACATATGATTTATTACAGAACCATTTAAATAGGTTTTCTGAGTTATGAGAGAAGGCAGTATCTAGTGAATGACCAAATCTGAACTTCTATAACGCCTCCCTAGGTCCAAGGTTTAACCCCGGTGATTAACTATGAAGAACTGAGTAGGCTGGGCACTGGTGGCTCACACCTGTAATCCTAGCTACTCAGGAGGCTGAGATCTGAGGACTGCAGATTGAAGCCAATCCAGGCAGGAAAGTCCGTGAGATTCTTAACTCCACTGAAACTACAAAAAGGGAGCCAGACACGGAGATGTGGCTCAAGTGGTAAAGCATTAATTTTGAGTAAAAGAAGCTAAGGGACAGTGCTTACGGCCCTGAATTCAAGCCTCAGGACCAGGGGAAAAGAAGAAAGAACTGAGTAGCAATGGGCATTGGTGGCTCACACCTGTAATCCTGGCTATTCAGGAAGCTGAGATCTTAGGGTTGCATTGGTTTTATTTTCTTTTTTCTAGTCCTGGGTCTTGAACTCAGGGTCTAGGCTCTGACTCTGAACGCTTTTTTTGTTTTCTTTTTTTTGGTCAAGGCTAGCACTCTTCTAACTGTTGTGCTGCCTGCCAACAGCTCTCATCTGTTTCTCCACTCCGCGGACTGTCTTGCCAGCTTGCTAACTGGACATGTCCAGAAGGACCTTATACCCTATCACTGGCCCCCAGAACCAAGTGAGGTCACGGATTGGCTGGCCAAGTGGTACAAAGATCCAGCCCCAATCTCTGTGACTCACTCTTCTGCTTAATGTACTATCTAGAGCCTATCATACATTCTTATGCTTCCTTCCTCCTAAGGCCATGTTCTTACTGAATCCCTTCATCCTCCGTTTTCTCTCTCTTCCTTTCAGGGCCCTCATCATCATGAATACTCAATTCTCTTTCCTAGGCTCTGCTTCTAGGACCAGGGCTTCCTTGGAAATTTCAATTAGGTTAATTGGATGAGAATGGACAGAGTAGAGTTTCTTTTTAATGTGATTTTTAGATGTAGCCACAAAGAGTTTTGTTTTCTGAGTTATTGGCAGATGATGCCAGAGGATAGATAGTCTGATCTTTTCTTCCCAAAATGAACCATTCAAGAGAATGTTTTCCTGATTGCAATATATAGTGAAAGAAGTCAGGCTTGCTTTCCCCTACGTGGCTGACATTAAGATTTTAAATGAAAACATGGAGACTGACACATCAACTCCCCACGACATCTACTACCTCACCAGTGGGAAGTGCTACTAGGTATCTGGAGAAGTGGGGTCCCCTCTATTGCCCTAATTGAATCCAAGACCTTGTACATGCTAGGCAAGTGCTGTACCACTGAGTCATACCTCCAGCTCTAAGACATTCTCTATGTAACAGATCTTTTACAAATACGTATGTGGGAACAGTCATGCAATAATACATTCATTTGATGCCACTGAATAAAAATAATTGAAGACAGAGTCAGTAAATGAAAGATTTACTTGAAAAAGTATCTACTAAATAAAAAAACATCATCAGCATCAGCATCATCATCATCATCATCATCATCACAGAGCCATTGGGCATATTTCTCTCCAAACCACAGTGTTTCATGTTTATTTCCAGAAAGCTGTGGTACTATGTATTTTAGCTCTACTTATGTGACTATAACATTTAACTACAAGGCTGAATTTGAGGAAGTGGCGCTGTAGCTCAAGTGGTAGAGTGAGCGCTCGCCTTGAGCTGAAGAGCTGAGGGACAGCGCCCAAGCCCAGAGTTCAAGCCCCACGACCAACAACAATAACAAAAAAGAATGTCCAAAGCTGAATTTGAGTATTTGTACCTGTATATCAGATCTTTGGTTTAGTTAGTTCTTATGGGTAAATATTTGCTGTCTAGGTTAAGCCATAAAAATGTCGCCTATTTTCCTACGTTTAAGCTATTTTTATTTCATATAGTATGTATTTATGCTTCTACTAATATGTTTTCATATTACAAAGGCAATTTAGAGGAAGAATGTTCCTTTTGATATTTCAATCTGGACACCGACAGAAGTATACATTTTAATTAAGCTATTTTGTTATACTGTACTTCTAAATTTTTGTTGCTGTGTTGGTTTTAAATATGCATCTTATTCGATGTTTGACTATTTTCAATATATATTTTTTATTGTAAAGATACTGTACAGAGAGGTTACAGTTACATGAGCAAGGTAATGAGTCCATTTCCTATTGAGCATTGTTACCCCCTCCTTTATTTTTCCCCTACTGTCCCTTTCCTCTCCACGTCCCCAACTTCCCCCCGCCCCCGCCGCCATCCCTACAAAGTTGTAAAGTACAAAACAGTATGTTGAAATTGATGTTTGACTATTAACTGTGGTTCTGGTTACTTTCCCTCTCCTGCTGGTCTGTGTGCTTCAACCATGACAGCTGACAGGACCTTGGTGCTTAAATGGAGCAAATTTTATTTACCTTTAAAGAAAAGTAAAGAGGTTCACCAAGAATAGAACTGAAGATATTTTCTTTTAACTTCACTACTAATCTACTATTGCAATAAGTGCTAAACATTGAGCTTCCATGATTTTCTTTTTAGAATTAAATGCTTGTAACTAAAAATTGCTAAAAGTTAAATTAAGAACCCTTCATGTAAGAAAAGCTTTTCTCTAAGAAGGACTGAAAATCTGAAAATCTCCAATGATTTTTCATATCCTTTAGGAACTTTTTAAAGTAAGCCAGAGATCAGTTAGCAGTGGGATATATGTGCGGAAACATGTGGATCGCAGATGTTCTTTGGAAAAGAAAATCATTAGTTCTTTTAAAATGGCTAATAATGATAGCTAATTCCTAAACAATCACACTCACGCTGGTTTAACAAATATTTCAGAAAAGGAGCTCTGACTCATTCAACAAATATTTTGCTTATATTGTCACTTCTGTGTCTCTATACTTACAAGACGGATCCTTATTTTTATTAATTGCCCATGACTAACATAACATTCTCAGTAGTTTGCTATTAACCTCTGCCCTTAAATAATACTTCTAATTCCTTATCTAAAAGTAATTTGATGAATTATAAGTTGAAGAATCTCTCTGCTAGCCTTTCAAGAGACACGATTTTTCAGAGACTGAAATCAGATGCTTCTTACAAAAATATTTAACGGTGCAGCTGGTGTAGACTGTTAGTTCTACAAGGGTATTCCAAAAATGGGGGGGAGGGCAGGAGGAGTGTAATGTGCTACCCTTGATGTGTGTATCTCTTAGGAAATAATGGAAAACAGACATTTTGACACGTTCATTCTTTTGTCAGTGCAGAAATAAACTGGCACATTCCCAACTGGCACTGGCAAAAATAAGTTGAATTTATTCTAGCACTATTTAAATACCTTGGAATATTTTGACTACTTTGAATCCTACTGATTGTGATTCTATTAGTGATAACAGTAATCTCAGACCTATGTTTCTGCAGAAAGTGATTGACTGAAGAAGCTTCATGCTTTCTAATTCACCAACCTCCTGACCTAGGTCAGTTTTCCACAATGACATTGTCAGGGCAAATGAACCTGTGAAGGCCAG